GATGGATCATTTTATTGGCTTGCAAACAGGGTCCGATATCAAACAAAACTTAGTTTTAACTCCAGCGATGTCGTGGACTATATTTTGTCAGACGATATGTATAAAATCCTATGCCAAAGTGCACTTCATTTGGCTGTAGCTAGAAACCACACAGAAGTAGCCAAACTGTTGTTATCCCAGGAAGAAAAGACAGTTCATTGCACTGACTTCACAGATCGAACTCCACTTCACGAGGCTGTCAGGCAAAACCATGTGGAGATGGCAGACGTGCTTATTCAGAGTGGGGCACGAATTTCTCAGAAGTGCAGACTGTTTCAGAATTTATCCTTTTCTGACAACCGCACGATGAAAGAATGCGAAACGAAGTATGACTTTCTAAGCATAAGTGAAGAAGTAGAATACAATAAAGATCTATGCCACTGTGGCTCGACACCATTGCTACTGGCTGCAAGGTACGGTCATACTGAGGTAGGGTCCCTACTTTTGCGATACGGTGCAAAAGCTCACGACCAGGATTGTCAGGGTGCCACACCACTTCATGTAGCTGCATGTCATGGGCATTACAGATTTATTAGATGGCTTATTTCTCAAAGACCGTCACTTCATGTCAACAGTAGAAGTCAAAACCAGTCGACACCACTACACAGTGGTGCTATTTGTAAGATCAACAAGGCCATCAAACCCTTGATAGACATGGGAGCTAGCATTTATGATACTGATCAGTACGAAATGACTCCGTTACATTACTCTGTTCTTAACGCTTTTGAAAATATTGATGTGGTTCTCGGCCTCAGCGAGATATTCAATGAACCTTACGGTGCATCATTTACTACAGTTTTGAGTTTACAGGGTCATTTTACGGCAACGCGTGATTCGCGTATCCTTAAAAGGACTGTGCCGTTAACCTTTCAGTGCCTAAAGCTGTCAGAAATTACCGAATCAACAGATGATTCGTACATAAATAAAGTCGATAAAAATGGTAGAACAGCTCTACATCTTGCAGCACAAAATGGAGAAGAGAGTTGCGTCGTATACCTACTGCAAAAGGGAGCAAGGGACAGATGTAACTGACAATAAAGGTAAAACCCCATTAGATGTTGCCACTGAATGTGCACCTGGAGTGCTAAATCCTGTCTTCTTTGAGAAAGACAGCTGTGCATACAAGGATAATTTTGATCTGGTTCTGGCCTTGAACCAAAGGTATCATAATGCAATTGCCGACATTCTCCTGTCTAGAGAAACTTACTTAACCCAGACGTGCGACGAAAGACAGACATACCAATTACATAGTGCTTTTGAGAAAAACCAGCCAGTGATTGCTTATCAAATACTCTCAAAGGGTGGTAGTCTTAACTGCAAGGATACACAAGGACGAACACCTCTGTTAATGTACTTACAGAATGGCGGCAAGTGGCTTGATATTGTCTTAAAGCGCTTTGATGTACCCATTCGTATAGAATGTGGCAAACCTTTCAACTATTCTGAGTTCCATTTGTTAGCATTTAGAAAGCCGACGGCACCATCAGATAACCTTCTGGAACACTACACTTGTGATGTGGATTATTGTTTTTCGAAAGATGGACCATTCTTGAAAGCTATTAAGGCTCATCCGTTAGGATTCCGGGTGATCGACGAGTGTCGTGACGCAGAAGGGTACACGGCGTTGCATCGAGCTGCTCAAGGAGGTAATATGCTTCTGGTGAATAAGTTTCTCTCGTGGGGTGCTGATCCTACCGTTTTGACTCCTCAGGGACACAGTTCTTTGGTACTTGCCATTATGTATGCAGGTCAGATAAGCCCATATCCATCTAATCAGGACAGAAAAATTGCAGAAAGAGCTGCAGATGTTTTGCTCCGAGCTACAAGACGTATTACCAGTTTTTATATTGGATGCAACAGCAGCCAGGCCAAGCTCACAATATACCACCTGTCGGCTTACAGAGGTCTGAGTGGGTTTGTCAAAACACTGTTAAAGGATGCAAGTCTTCTTGGTGTTGATGTTAACTGTCCAAATCTGCATGGTATAACACCCTTGTACCTTGCCAAATTATATGTGGGAACAGAGGAAACGTCCAAAGGTAAACAAGACCAATGGCAGGAAATTGTTGATTTGATTGAAGAATATGGTGGCGTACTTTCCTATCCTAATCGTGAGGTAGAACTTAACGTAATCTACAGGCATCTCTTCGGACACCACCCCAATCCGTTCACTCTGGATGAATTTGAAGCCGGCGGAGAACAGTTTTACAAAAGTGGGGTTAGCGCATGCAGGGAAGATGACTTGAATTATTACCAGACTGGTATACATATAAACCCTTACATGGAAGCAGTCTATGGAGAACTAATCAAGCGAATAACTGCGTCTCTGTCAAGTGCTGATAAATTGAATTTTCAAGAAGCTCTGAGAGTTCGTCTTGTCGCATTGAAAGCCATGGAGGATGTATCCCGTCTGATTAATTGATACAAGCGAAGGGATGGAACAAGCACAAATGGCAGTCAAACGAAGACTTAACTCCATTAACGCGTCAACCGTCTCTTCTATCAAGTTTCCAAAACTCCTGGAACGACCAAGTTATACGCAGAACGTGCAGCGCAACATGAAAGAACTAAACCAGCAAGAACAATCTCTTCACGAGACGCGCTTCACTCATGAATCAACAAAAGCGATCCTCTCCCACTGGAACGAACACCTTAAAATCATTTTGCATAGGTACAGTGAGTTCTTTGGAGACATAACAAAGATAACACAACTTCTAGAGAAATACGAAGGAAGTGAATTGTGCTTGGAGGAGATCATTCAAGCCGAAATGATAGCAATTAAGTTTCGTATTTACGTAGTCAGATCTCGCGTAGATGACCTGATAAGTTTTATGAGAACTTCTCTCGAGGAAGCTGAATTTATCTCCAAACGAGTCCCAAGCGAATGGATAAATTCTACAGAGGGCGCGTGGAATCAAGCTGTAAAATTTATTTACCAACATGCTACTGAGAGAGATTTGGCCTTTGATTATCTTCAAGATCTCAGTTTGGGATGTGATAAAGACACTCGCATTCCTTTAAGTGTGGATGCCTTATATTCTCTTTCATTGGAACTTGAGACAGAGTGTGTGATCAAAAAGGGACATGATTTTTTTTTAAACATTTAAAGAAACTACATGCCATTCCAGAAGAGATTCTTCTCGATGCAATGTAGCTACATTCTGTCTCTAAAATATATCTTGCCTCAAACATAGTTCCACAATGCGGATGTGTAGACAGTGTAGATAGTCTATCTGCTGAAGACGATGTAGAAGTCGAATAATTCCGAGAATGTGGGCGTTGACGCCACCTCGACTTAGTAACCATACCTTTAATGTATAGTAAAATGACCTAGGCGTAGGAACTATCGTACCAACTACCACCAAATATGATGCTAAAAAAATGTAGTAGTAGTGTTACCCTTTTCGAAGTAGGTGCGATCACTACCGTTTGTCAGTACATGCACTTAGCTTTGGTAGCGGTAGGTAACAGGGAATCAGAAGGGGGTTAGCGGAATAAAGCTATGGAACAGCATTCATATTGATATACGGAAAAGAGACACCACTGGTTCTTTTAAGTTTGCGCTAAAAAAATATTTTTTAGCATAGTTTCTTTTTCTTGAAATTCAATGTACATATTTTTTATCATAATTTTACTTTTTTCATAATCTTGTACATGTCCTGAGAGAACCCTGAGAGGTTGAAAGTTCTAGACAAGCCAGCGAACTTTTTCATGCTCCGACTGTTGTAAAATATAAATCTAGAAGAAAATGGTACATATTTTAGTTATTTTATATTAGCAACAAAACTTATTTTTACATGTAAATATTTTTGTAACTTCCTAGGACAGAGGGCCACTGGTTTATCAGTGAAAACTGTTATGTGTTACCCTCTAAAAATAAAGTTGTTACTTAGTATACTTACTTAATTAGCAATTACAGGTGCACCACAAGGTGATAGACTGACTGCACAAAAGGCGCCGAATTTGAATAACAATACTTTAGAAAACCTAAGGACCTCCACAGACTCGAGAGATAGTTGTCGACAACTATTTGGCTGTCGATCATAAAAAGTTGTCGATAACAAAAAGCCAGTGTGTGAAGCTAGTTATCGATAACTAAGTAGCTTCACACACTGGCCTTTTTGTTATCGACAATTATCTCTCTAGTCTGTGGAGGCCCTAAGCCTCGCATTGATGGGAAAAATCCTTTGTCGGGAACATAAGCAAGAGCCTAAGGTTTTCTAAAGTATTGTTATTTAAATTCGGCGGCTTTTGTGCAATCGATGTTTTCAGTCGGGGTGGGGGGGGTGGGGGGCAAGTACGAGTTGCTAGTAAGCAACATGACGTATTTGCTGGCGCGATTGCTTTCGGAGTACTCGTGAGTGCTCGCGCTAGTTTCTGATTGGATAAAAAAATTCGGAAACTCTTCGAGTGTTTCCACGACGATTTGCCAAAACCGGCACTTGTTCCCACGACTGAATAGGAGAGAGAGAAAGAGGGATTAATAGACAGTCACGATCTTAGAACACTGGTTCTACAAGGCTATTTTATTTCGTTTGTTTGTTTGTTTCAAAACAGTTAACTAACAACAACAACAGATAATTTATCTTTGTTCGCGAGAGGTTTGGTGTCCACTTTTGGTGGAGATCTGTATCAAAAACGGGCAACATGATTTTTTTCAACATTTAAAGAAACTACAGGTCATTCCAGAAGAGATTCTTCTCGGCGCAATGTAGCTACACTCTGTCTCGATATCTTCGAAAAACCACTGCAAAAAATACAAACAATATATTACAACGAATATCGCACACTACCAAAGGACGGGTAACTTGATAGTGGAAAACTAACAATAGAAACGGACTAACTATGAATTGAACAACAAATATTACAACTAAATTCAAAATAAAATATTTAAAGTGAAGAAATGATTATCGCAGTTTTGTTTTCAATTTAAGCAATTGCAAAGAAGCATGAAATGTTCAGGGCTCCAACAGGATTTGATCCCATGACCTCCGCGTTACCGGTGCGATGCATATGCTATACCAACTGAGCTATGAAGCCACACTGCAAGCAATTGCAAACACATCTGCGAAGATCATTTCTACACTTTACATTCTCTATCCGCAGTTCATATATGATTTCATTCATATTCATCTCTTATAATTGATGATGGATACTGAAGTGTCCGAAACATGTCTTCTTCAAAACTTAAAAAGTATGTCATTTTTCTTAAATGTCTAGCAATAGAATAATAAACTGTTTATAGATACTCCCCAATGGGGCTTTTCAGGGCCAATGTAAACAAACACAGAAACAAATATTGCAAATGACCATAACATGGTTAAGAATGGCAGGAGGCTGACCAGTTGGCTATTTTACAAGCGTGGCCTAGGAGTTGAACTCGGGACTACTGTGAACAAATCCAGCTAGTGGCAGGATAGAGGGCGTGAACACCCGGGAACTCCGGATTACACGACCAGTGCCCAATACTACTCGACCACGACATTCCCTTTTCCCCTGTTTATGTATTTATAAGCAGAGATTAATTCCCTCTCCGCTCCATAAACTCAGCCAAATAATGCTACTGAACTAGATAGAAGACTATGTCAAGTAGTAAATATCGACACAGTATACATGCCCAGTAGACATTGCTATTCCCCCTGGTCAATTGAGAATTGTTTTATTATTAATGTTTTTATATCAAATGTTTCGCACAGCTTTCTTAGAATGGAGATAATATATCACCTCTCGTCCTTGTAAATCCTGAAGTAGTAGTCTACAAAGTCACTTCTGCCAAGATTTTCTACAAACTCTTCGTCATGAGTGATGACTACAAGTTGAAAGTTTCTCTGAAGTTGTCTGGTTCTTATAACTCTGAAAAAGATTCACGAGAACAATGCACGGCGATACAGAGAGAGCAGAGCGAGCACTAGTTTACACAGCGCGTATCTCGTTTTCAAATGACGGATGGTTATATAGCAGTATATATATAGCAGTAAATGTAAATGACAAAAGGTACGAGTCCGCTGTCTAATAATTTTAGCGGCCGTTTTATATATATATTTTTTAAATAAAGCCAACAAAATGCAATGATACGCCATAACTGTGTATGCAAACGACTACACACCCAGAGCTCTCGTTATATGAAAATGTTATGAAATGTATTTGAAGTTAACGGCTTGGAAACTTACCAAGCTTTACTAACACCTTATCTGAGCATCCCTGATGACAATAACAACGTGTTTAAACAAACAAACAAAACTTACGAAGCTAACTGGTTGGCCAGACTCTCAATGTTGTCCTCATCCAAATTTGTGGTCGGCTCGTCAAGAGTTAATATACCGCAGTTCAAACAGAATGTTTCCGCCAGCGCTAATCTGATAATCAACGAGGCCAGGACCTGTAATATAAAAAAGATCAACAAAGAAATTAAAAAAAAATTCTCTTTTCGTTCGTAGCAGCGTAAAAGGCCTTTAAAGTGCCCATAACCTTTTTTATTTTATTTTCTCATCTGAATCTAAACATCACCCAAGGAAATTCTGCGAAATTTTTTTTGCGTTTTGCACAAACGCGAATTGTTTATGAATTTTATAAAACTTTCAAATTTGCCGCCATTTTGGATCACCATTTGCTTTAGTCTCCCCTGGGTCCTTCTCGGTTCACAAAGGATCTGTGACGTAGATTAATGAACACGTGACATCAGACAAAGGAACTGTGACGTAGATTAAGGAACACGTGGCTTCAAAACAAAGGAATTGTGACGTACATTCAGGAAAATGTGAGCCCGTCGGCCTTCTTACAGCGGGACGGGTATACCAAACAAAAATAGGATTTTGAAGATTTGAAACATTCATAAAAAATTCGCGCTTTCTGCAAATCGCACAATTTTTTCGCAGAAATTCCATGGGTAATGTTTAGATTCAGATGAGAAAATAAAAAAAAAAAGGTTATGGGCACTTTAACAGTCCCGGAAAAAAATTATCCTTAGAGGAGACCCATGTATGGGGGAATGCTCCTTTTACATCATCCTCCCCCTAATATTATGCATTTCTCAACATGCTCGCGATTGTTTTCGCGCCATTTTTGGAATTATTGGACTGCAAGTGTTTCCATGAGGATTTACCGAATAATAGTCCAAGCGTTTTCATTCCAGTGAGACTAGAATCGAGACCCAGTATGAGCTATTTCGCTGCATGTCTACCATACAGTTTAACTGACATTGTAAAATATGGTTCAGCAATTTCTCGAGCACACACACACCTTCTGTCCAGCGCTGCAGCGTCCTCTCATGTCCAGAGCCGTGTCACCCTTAATCATAACCACCTGAAAAGAATAAAGGAGGATACAAAAGAAGGAACTTGTCCCTGAGTACTAATCCACTGTACAAACACGGTAAATGTTTCTATTTAACAAATAAAGAAGCCAAAACCATGTATTATACTGTCATAAAACAAGACGGGAATTTGAGAACACGAGAGAAATTTAGAAAACACGAGCCGCAGGCGAGTGTTTTCTATATTTCTCAAGTGTTCTAAAATTCCCGGAGTGTTTTATGACAGTATAATACATGGCTTTGGCTTCTTTATGTGCTTTAAAATATAGATTTACGCGCGCGAAACGATAAAACACGCTTTTCTATGATTTTATACTCTGATAAAACATGGTTTTTAACCAATCAGAGAGCGCGCGAAAATTTTCAGTCTATATTTTAATCTTAGATAAATCAGTACTATGTACTTCAACAGGAACAATTATAATCTCATTTTCTCGCGTTATCGCGAAAGTAGCTCATCCCATATTATGATAGAGCGAGCTTATGTCACTTTTCTGAAAAGTTGAGTCCAGGGGGGCAGGCAGCGCCCTTTGATCTTGCCGCTTTTCCGCATACATGATCGCACAAGTAAAGAAATCTGTCAATCATTCGAGAAACGTACCTCTACGGGAGTTTGCTGTGGAATTTTCATCCATGGTGTCCCACAATGACCAAAGTTCAATTAAACAGCGACCGAATCGTTCCCATAGATGTTTGGACGTGGAATCGCCAAATATTTCTGAACGAACACAAACGCACGTCATGTCAGCCATCGTCCGCCATGTTTATTTTAAACAAACCAGTACTTAGTCTCGCTCGGCCAAATTTCTAAAATGTGCAATCATATATACTAGGTCCCAGGCCTCGCTGCTAGCCCCCCCTGGTTGAGTCCATGCACTTCGAAAAAAGTTGAACGAAATGTGAAACTGCAATCTTAGACACCAGTTATATAAATAGGACAATACTTACAAAATGAAGTCTACTAACCCTGTAGTTATACGTTCGTCGTGTTTTAGTTGCTCCGCTTCCTTCTTCCTCGTCTGAGCGAATTTCAATGGTGTCGATATCTACAGGAACAAATTAGAAACACATGATCGACCCCCACTATGAAAATGTATATTCTGGCTCCTCTATAACTTCATATTTTTAATAAGCCTCCTTACCCCAGTCTCGTCCCACCCACCACCCCCCCCCCCCCACCCCCCCCCCCCTTCTTTTCCCCACGATGGTGTAGGGTATGAATGTCGCACAATTCCTACATCTATCTACATCTAGGTGATTTATGATTTGATATAAGCCCCTCCCCTTCTGTATATAGAATCCTTCTCAACTATTCGCTGACATAGTGATTGATTCAACAAATTTGCGCAATATGTTTGAACCAATCAGAACGGAGATTCTGTTTTTTCGGCCAATCAGGTGCAAGAACAGACCAATCGGGGCTTTCCTTACGCGACGTTTCCCGCGCTTGGCACTGGTTGCATGTTTTATGTCGGGTTCTGATTGGTTCATAACACACTTCGTCTGTGCTTAGTTAGGTTTTAGCTACAAGTTTTATGGCAGTCATTACAAACACGCGTAAGGCGAGCCCCCCTCTCTCACTCTCAAGTGCACCCAAAATCATAATTCAAGAAAAATCCAAAATTACATTTTTGTAAAATACTGAAAAACAAACAGCACCACTTGAAAGTACTGCTCAATAGCTTCCATTTGAATGGTCACACACTAGGGTTTCATCCACAGACTCAAAAGGAACAACCCAACATTTATTGACTCAAGGTTTGACTCTAGGAGTGAAAGTATTAAGAATATTCTCGTTTTGTTTCTTTCTTGTTTTGCAGTATTCGTTTGAGAGTCTGTTTCGCAGCATGCATTTTGCATTACTGGATAACAGCTGCCGAGAATACTTATTTTTAGCTGATTTCTTCATGGTTGAAAAGAACGCAGCAAAGGATCTGTTTACCGCAGTGCTTGGCAAAACCTTATCGCTATTTCTCGTGAGTATTTTAGGTTTTCTAAAGGCGCAGTTCAACCATTCCTCTGGCCTACATTTCTACCCGCTCCCAATCTCGTTCCCAGAGCCCTCGTTACCCTTATCCAGCGCAGGAACGGGCAACAAGCACCTCTGGGATAAAGCGACGGATCGCTTTATCCCAGAGGTGCTTGTTGCCTGTTCCTTCGTTCCGCTGTATAATGGCAATGAGGACTCTGGGAACGAGATTGACCCGCTCCAATTTCCGTCTTTCCTCTGCCACTGATCTCAGCTATTGTTCGCCAAGATAGGCTTTCACTGCAGTCTACTACCATCCGGGATATATACTAACATCCGGGACGGCTGACTGAAGTATTCTTTAATTTTGCATCGCAGAAACAAATGGACACATACCTAGAGAGTTGTTTTGATGCCATTGGAATCTTCCTGTGCATTCACATAGTTCACAGATACAGAATACTCATGCACAAAAGAAGCGTCCCGGCACTGGACAAGTAAGTGATAACCACTATAGAAAGCGCGAGAAAGATGTTTATCAGTCAGTGACACAAGCTATTCGGAAAAAAATTCCGAGTTCTCCCAACATGAGTCGAACCTATGACCTTCCGCACACCGGTCGGACGCTCTACCACTGAGCTACAGGAGACTCGTGGGAGCTAAGGCCATATAAGTAGGTTCAAATGTGACAAACTGTTCGCATACTGGTAGGATTAGTTTTGTCGATATGTGAGATGCGTGGAAAGAAATGATTGTGAA